AGGCTGGAGCGCAGTGGCATGCTCATGGTCACTGCAGCCTCAACCTGCTAGGCTCAGGTGATATTTCTGCCTCAGCCTTCCAAGTAGCTGGAACTATAGGAATATACCACCACATCCAGCTAATTTTTTGATTTATTGTAGAAATGAGGTCTCACCAAGTTGCCCAGGCTGGTCTCAAGCCCATGGGCTTAAGCAATCCTCTCATCTTGGCCTCCCAAAGTGCCAGGATTGTAGGCATGAGCCACTGAGAGTGGTCTCATTTTTTAATTCTTTTTTTTCTTTTTTTTTTTTTGAGTTGGAGTCTCACTGTCGCCCAGACTGGAGTGCAGTGGCTGCTCCCGGCCACCGCAGCCTCGACCCACTGGGCTCCAGCGATCCTTCCACCTCAGCCTTCCAAGTAGCTAGAACTACAGGCGCATGCTACCACACCCGGCTAATTTGTCATTTATTGTAGAGATGAGATCTCTCCAAGTTGCCCAGGCGGGTCTCTAACCCGCAGGCTCAGGCAATCCACTCACCTCAGCCTACCAAAGGCGTGGGATTACAGGCTGAGCCACCGAGCCTGGCTTCATTTTTTAATTCTTAATTGACCTAAAAGATAACTACCGAGTTAATAATAGTAATAACACTTTGAGTAGTTACAATTTATGAAGAAGTAAAATGAATGACCAGAGATGGTAGAAAGGAATTAGGAATACTCTGTTATAAGTTATCTGTACTACACATAAAGTGATATAGTATTATATGAAGGTGGACTTAAATTAGTTATAAATGTGTACTGCAAATTCTAAGGCAACAAGTAAAAAAAAGTTAAATGTATATAGTTGATACGTTGAGAGTAGAGATAAAATGAAATAACATAAAAGTTTGATTAAAAACAGATAAAGCAGCCGGGCTTGGTGGCTCGCCTGAAATCCCGTGCCTTTGGGAGGCTGAGGTGAGTGCATTGCCTGAGCCCGTTAGTTCAAGACCTACTGGGCAACTTGGCGAGACCTCATCTCTACAATAAATAAAAAATTAGCCGGGCATGGTAGCATGCGCCTGTAGTTCCAGCTACTTGGAAGGCTGAGGCAGAAGGATCGCTGGAGTCCAGAAGGTCGAGGCTGCGGTGGCCGGGCAGTCTGGGTGACAGAGTGAGATTCCAGCTCAAAAAAAAAAGCAGATAAAGCAAAAATAAGAAAAAAATCAAAGAACAAATTCAATAGAGTTAACAAATATGGCAGATGTTAATCCAATTATATTCATAATTACTTTAAATATAAATTCCAGTGATTGTCAGAGTAGGCAAACAAATAAGCAAGACCCAAGTATTTGTTGTCTACAAGAAACCCAATTTAAAAAAAAGACTTAGGCTAAAAGTAAAGGGATAGAGAATGATTTACCATGCTAACACCAGTCAACAGAAAGTTGGAGCAGCCATGTTGATTTCTGACAAATCCAACTTCAGAATTAAGACTATCATCAGAGACAAAGGTGGACAATACTTAATGATAAAAGAGTAAATTTTCCAGAAGCCATAATAATTCTAAATGTATGCACTTAACAGGAGAACACCAAAATATGTGAGGCAAAACTAACAGAACTGGAAAGAGAAACAGAATACATGAAGTTAGTTCATTGCATAGGATTTTTCTTGTGTGTGTGTGTGTTTGTATGTGTGTGTGTGTATATTTTTTCTGGTCAATTAAAGATGCCAGAAAATAAATGAACTGTTTTTAAGAAAGCAAGATCTGTGAATTGGGTTAGGAATAACCAGTGCTAAATGACTCCCAGCGTGATTGTGTTGGACTTGGTGAAGATAAGTGACGGATTTCATTAATAGGTCTGCCTTCCACTGGAGCTCCTGGGCTCAGTTTGAGTGGGAGAATCTTGAGGCAATAGAATCTGCCATCCTTCCTGTGGCCAAGTCTGCAGCAGGCAGGAAACAAGTGCAGGCTGAGGGCAACCAATGGGAGATAAGAACAGCTTCTCTCCTGGGCTCCTGGCCCAGACCACTGGCTTCTGAAAGCACAGATGGTTCTTCATATTTTTCTAAAACACAAAGCACCAGCCTTGAAAAGGGGTTTCAACAAATGTGCCAAAATTCTATTTGCTGATTATAAAGACTGACACTTGTTTAAATTTGAGAAATTTGCAGTTGGCACAACATTTCATTGTGTGGGAGCCCAAATGGAAAAATAAAACCATTCCACTTTAAAGCTGTAGTTGCTTACACATTTTAAAGGAGATGACAAAAGACAGATTGTTGTTGTTGTTTTTTTTTTTGCCTTTCTTTTTTGTTGTTGTTGAAGGCCCTACACTAAATCTCCAAGCCCTACCTTAGCCTAGAACTGAAGGGTAGAAAATGTGAAGATAAACAATAAAGGTAATAATAAATGTAAAGTGACATCTGCTTGTGCACAGAGGGTACTTGTTCAAGTTTCATATTCCTTAGGCAACTGTATCTTCTGATATTATACAAATAGGGTCTATCTAGATGGCAGTCTTGGATACAAGCTTATTTCATTAAAATACCAAGTTCTTCTCATACTTTAATGTACATACAAATTAGTAGGGGGCCTTGTTGTAATGCAAACTTTAATACGGTAGTTCTTGGTGTTGCATAAAATCCTACATTTCTAACAAGCTTCCAGGTGGTGCTACAGTCCTATTTCACAAATCATATTCAGCATAAACAAACTTGGAAAAAAGACCTGGGAGATTGGACTCCACTATGCAAATCACACAAATCCTAACACCAGTTTACGTAACAGCTTAAATAAACTCAGGCCTGGACTATCCACTACCTGAGTGAAAGGTACTGAGGTCCTCCTAGGAATTCTTGAGGATTCAATCTGAAAGTGGTAACAGAGTTCTGGTTTAGTCCTTTAGTTTTACATATGAGAGTATTAAGCTCTTGAGAGGTTAAATCAACAACAGATGCTGGCGAGGATGTGGAGAAAAAGGAATGCTTCTACACTGCTGGTGGGAATGCAAACTTGTACAGCCTCTCTGGAAAACAGTCTGGAGATTTCTGAAAGAGCTAGAAATTGACCTTCCACATGACTCAGCAATTCCCCTAATGGGAATATACCTGGAAGAACTCAAATTAGTCTACAAAAAAGATACCTGCACACATATGTTTGTTGCAGCTCTATTCACAATAGCAAAACCATGGAACCAACCATGTTGCACATTGAAGCTGAACTGGATTAAAAAACCATGGTACATATACACAATGGAATATTATGCAGTCATAAATAACTACAAATATATGGACTTTGCAGCAACCTGGATGGATTTGTAGTCGAACATACTCAGTGATTTATCACAGAAACAAAGAACAGAGTTCCATATGTTCTCACTCATAAGAGGAACCTGAACAATTGTAATGCTATGAGAAAGCAATTGGCAGTAATGGGAAACTGTTGGGGGGGGTGGTACTGGCAGTTGAGGGAAACTGCTAGAGGAGGGGCATACCTCATTAACAGGGGCACCTGCATGATCAGATGTTGGGAGCCGGCTTGGAGGCCCGCCTGAGTGTTAGGGATCCAGGTGAGCTGTGGACCCTGAGACCACCAGGTTGAGTTCAGGAGCTGAAGGCCCATTCCCTCCTCCCTTCTTTGTTGTTTGGCATGATCCACTAGCAGGAACTTTGATGATCTAAGCATGAAGTTCTGAGAGTATGACAGGCATGGCTGACTCTAGGGATCCATTGTTCCCGTTTCTCACAGACTGCGGTTTCGGCTTTAAACTTAACACAGTTCAAACTCAGGTCACATTTGGGAGCCTTTAATATGGTACAAGCTTCTTTATAAGATTTAAAAGTGTATTTGTAGAATTAGTATATACATTTAGAGAGCTGTTTCCAGCTTTAGATAGTATAGATGATTATCTAGAGTTACCAGAAATGGCACAGCATGAACTTTGGACTGGGCCACATTCCTAAGGGCCCAGCGTCCACTTTGGGCTGGGCTGTATTCTTTTAAACTGGTTCTTTAGCTACTATTAGTATAGGTCTTTTCTACTTATTATAGAAGTTGAATTTATTTTATTCATAGAAAATATTGTAGAATAGGTCATGCTACGTCAGGGAATTATGTTAGTTCAAGCATGATCAAACATGGTATTTTGAGGTTTTATAAGAATACAGCTAACTTTAGAAATTTCAATGTTTCCATTTTCTACTAATTGCGGTTTTGGCTTTAGTACAATTACAGTTTGTATTTGGGTTTTATTTTAGAAGTTTTATTGCTGATGATCAGCTTTATATATTAGGATTAGGAATTAGAAACTTTTATAGAAATTAAGATAGATACATAGGATTTTAGAATAGCCATTTTGTTAAGAGCTTATAATTAATTGTTCCTGGAAATGGCCCAGCGTGATCTTTGGACTAGGCCACATTCTTTAGGAACTGGTTTGAGCTATAATCAAGAGTTTTTTATAGTACAGGTAAAATTAGCACAGAATAGAAAGGTATTAGGATTTTAGTCAGTCATTAGGTGTTGGGTATGCATAAGTTTTAGAAGTTATTCATTATTAGAATATTATGATGTTAGAATTGTTGTATTGTTTGTGAGGAACGTTAACCAAGCATAAGGAACAGTGAAATAATATTGGGATTGTCCTTCCTCATGCTTGAGGAAACACCTGGTGGGTGGGGGGATGCCCCTCATCCACATGGCTTTGTGTTCACGTGAAAATCTTGTGATCTTGCCTGTGAAGCTTTAGGATAAAAGGCTTACAGTTTGCCCCATTGAATTGGCTTCTGCCCTAGACAGAGTCCAGTCTCTTTCTTTCTCCCCCTTTTTCTTTCTTCTTTTTATTTCTCCAGAATAATCACCAATGCTGCCACACCTCCCAGGGACCCCCTAAATCTCTCTGCAGGGGTTGGCCCCCCGCAATCAATGTTTGTATACCTAACCCTGAATTGTACCCCATATCTTTATAATAAAACTTTAAAAAAATAAAAATAAAAATAAAAAAATAAATGAATCTATGACAGACCAGACACAACAAAGGATACAAATAGTCATTTTAATATTGATACACAGTTATTTTAGGTGACAATATATCAAATGGCATCATTTCCACTAGGATAGCATGTGTGAGGCATAAGGGTCAGAAGCGATCTTGGGAAGCTCCTTTTTTCCTCAGGCAGTAAGGGATCCATGATCAGGTCCTAGGCTAAGCTGCTGTCAAACCTACTCTTCCCTTTATAAAACTACATCAGAGCTTGACTTAAAGGCCCACAGGTTCAGGCTAAGATTAAGGATTCCATTATAGCCTTCTTATTAAGATGTTTAATGACTAAGGAAGAACATCTGTTTCCAACAGGTATAACTCAACCCAAGTCTCTTAGGCAGTGGGAGGAAAGGAATGTAGCACAGGCTGGCAAAGCACTAGCGGAATTAATCAAGATCCTCAACAATGTCAATTCTGACAATGGATCCCTTGAGTTTCTTTCTTAGTGATTTTGAGGCTACATTGATCCTGATGTTGGTTTTTAACCTCCCTTTAACCCCTCCTCTAAGAATGAAAAACTTCAAAGCTTTACCAGTGTGGTCCTGATAAGTACATACGATTGAAAGTGAATAGACAAACATAATGCAGAACACTGTTTGATTCGGACATTCCCTAACATCAATGCTTCAATTTTTAATCTGTAGTTTTATCTGTTTTTCATGTTATCATTCTAGAAAACCTGGGAGGAACATATACTGTACAAATGCTTTGCACCCCTTCAAGAAGAGGAACAGATTCTGGGGCCACTGTCACTTGTGTGAAGTGACATGTTGAGGAAAAGAAGATCAGGAAAAGAAGATTCCAAAGGGAAGCAGGAACAGAGAGCCAAGGTGGGGTGGGGCATATTTTATTTTTATGGCAAAAAAAATTGGTAAGAGAGGTATAAAACACAAAAACACATCATATCATAAAGACAGTAAAGAAAGTGACAGTAGCCAAGAAGAGCCACTTCTTTTTCTGGATGGTATCCTCAGAAAGCAAAGATGGCAGGATCCACAGATGAGTTCAGGAAAGTAATAGCAGCTTTCACAAGTGAATGCATGGTAGAACCTGTGATGAAGGGAAATAAGAATCAGGGATGAGAGAGAGCAATGAGAGTCTCCACTAAATTTCCCTGATCATCTACCATGAATTCTGCCTTTGTCTTTCCTCGATACCCCTAATTTTTCTCTTCTTATTTCCCAGATTATCTTTTGATATTCTCTGGTCCCAGAAATACCCAGCACCAGTGATATAATAAACAGCCAAGGAGTATGTGCTTCAAGTCCAGTCTTAAACTCAGCTTAGCACTGAGAATGTGAGAAGAATCAATGCCATGTGTCTGTCTCACAGTTCATGTCCCCTATCTAGGTCCCTTTCGTTCTTTACTCACCCCTACTCCCCCACGATGTCACCAAGTTAAGATTTACCCCTCCTTCTGCTAAGCAAAGAACTAGTTGAGAGACCATTAACGGTCTGTATCATGGATGGTAGGATGAGGTGACAACAGGACTCTTTCATGGTAACCCTCTGCCAGGCCTGGAAGATGGCTGACTTTCTAAAAGGGAAGGAATCAAGCTTAGCATTGTGCCCCTACCTGCATGGGCGCGCATCCAGGTCACAGCCTTCTGTTCCAGAAGCTCCCACTCACACTTCATGTCTTTACCATTGGTTTGCAGCCAGATTACAGCCAGCATTGTGGCCCAGCCTGAGGAATCCACAAGCTGCACAATAATAGATAGAGAGTTCCCTAAAATCTCCAAGTTGGAGGGGGAAGCCCATCAAGGGGATGCAAAAAGCTTCAGTCCCTCCTTATTTGTCATCCTTCAAACTGCTACTAAATGGAATTACCTGGTCTCTCTGTACCTCCATCTACTACTTGAAAAACATAATGCAAAGGCTTGAGCCTCAGAGCAACAATCCACTGAGTCTTAAGCTAGTAAAGTCCTAAGTGTTAAATTCAGTATAACCAGTAGGACAGTGCTGGAAACCCCTAAAGCAGCCTGGACAAGGTTTCCTGAGCTCTGGTAAGAGGAATACATGCATAATTGCTTTATATATTACAAAATGTCTTCATGGTGTGTTTTTTTTTAAATTATAACTATTACCCCCTCAAAAAATCATGAGGAAATATCAATAATCAGATTTTTAAGAGAGAAAACTGACCGTATAGGAGTAAAATAATTTTCTCAAAGTTAACCTTCTAGCAAATGATGGAAGTGTAACTAAAGGACAGATTTTCTGATTCCAACAGAAAAATCTCAGCCATGGAACAGAAAATAATCTCCCATAGGTTTTCACTTACTGTTCCAGCTTCAGTTTTTAGAGTTAGCAGATCTTGGAAAATTCCTCTTTAAAATTCGGAAATGGTAAGGGATGGGCAGTAGCTGGGCAATGCTAGGGGAGGGAGGAAGGAAAGAGGGTGGGGAACATAAGATAATACAAGAGTATCTGGTCCACTTCCAGGGGATTGAGGACAAGTTAGAAGCCCAAACTTCACCTACATGCAAGCTACTTATGTAATTAATCCTCACTTGTACCCCACATCACTATAATAAAATAAAATTTTAAAAAATATATCAAAAAAATTAAAATTAAATTTGGAAATGACTACCATGTCCATCTGAGTAGTCTTATTTCAAATTAAAATTCTCAGTTCTTTGAATTCTTCCTTAAAAGGACTGCTTATGTCAAAGCAATAATCTCCAGCACATTGTCCTAGTCTAAAACAAATATTACAATGATTTTTTAAAAAAATGTATCTCCTTAAGTGGTCACATCTGGAGGTACATATACTTAGAAAGTTCTATAGTCACAGCACAAAAATGTGGTAGTTTTTAGATAATCCTATGCCCTCCACTAATCAATCAAATATTCTAACTCAAATATTAGAATTATTATATAGCATATTCAAATATGCTAATTCACATTGTAAGTAATCATCTAAAACCTCTGATTCTCATGTGCAAATGTTCAAGTTATTTTGCTTCTCTTCTCTACTTGTAGAAGGAGAAATTTAGAACCCAAAGCAGTACTTGGCATTTACTCCTACTAAGTTTTTTTCTTTCATGAACAATTGCAACTTATTATTCAAAAATTTGGGGAATCTTGATTATTTTGTCTAATACTATATCTCCCAGTTTTGTCATCTACAAAGAATAAAGTCTTGGTCTTTATCTTTAAATTTTCATTGAAGTTGAGTACCTCCAGAGAATTCAGAGCCTGATAGTTTGTTTCAAGTTTGAAATCAATTCATTACTCAGAGCTATGGATTTTCAAAAAGTTTTACTTGGTCCATGAACTCATTACTTAAAAGAAAAAAATCAAATTTCTTTCTTTTAGTTTCTTTCCTTTGAGTAGAAGAGAACTCTTTATTTAAAACCAGAAACCTAATCTAGATGTTATGAAGGAGAAGATAAACACATTTGATTTCATAAGACCATTTTTTATGGTAAAAGATATCTCAGATAAAGTCAAATGATAAATGATAAATTAGGGAAATGTTTACCATGCCTACAGTGAACAAAGGCTTTTAATTCCTAATTATAGAAAGAGATCCTGCAGATTTATAAGAGAAAGGTAACCCCATGAAAAAATTGTCAGAGACAAGGAACAAGCAATTCAGAGAAAGAAAAACCAAATTGCCAGTAAATATATGTAAATTGACTCAACCTTGTGGATAGGAAATTTCAAGATTAAAACAATGAGATGCTGAGTTTGAACCTATCAGATGAATGGAAGCTAAGGAAGTTTCTGGTGTTGGGAATCACAAACTGGTGGTGGAAAGGGAAAGTGGATTGCTTCTCACTTTTTGGAAAGTAATTTGAAAATCGCTATTGAAAGGAAAAACATATAATTCAAATACACCAGGTCAGTTGATTACCCTGATTTATTGACCTGGTAACCATGTCAAAGGAGGATATGTTAGCTGGACATGTCTCATTTCAGTGAATCTAAACTAAAATGTTATGATCCGGGTATGCTCTTTCAATTGTTTACAAATTATCATTTCAATGATTTGTTCTGAACAGCATTTTTCAATAGAAAAATAATGCTAGACACTTATGCAACTTTAAATTTTCTAGTAGACACATTTTAAAAAGTAAAAATAAAGAGGCACAATTTTGTACTAATATGTTATTTAACCCAATATATTAAAAATATCATTTTAACATGCAATCAGTAGAAAATAATTACTGATAACATAGTTTACATTCTTTTTTTATACTGTGTTTGAAATTGGCATGTATTTCACACCATAGCACATCTTTATTCAACTAAAAATTTAGTTCCTCATTTGCATTAGCCACATTTCAGAGATGCAATAGATATGTGTGACTAGTGGATACTGTATTGGACAATGCTGCTATAGAATATCTGCAACTTATTTAATCCTCTTCTACACTTTCAAAATTCAGAATGATATTTGTCCTTCAGGCTTTTTGCTCCTGTCTCATATTTAACAATTTATCAATGACTATGAGAAGATTTAATAAGCTACCTTGAACTTTAGGGTTGCAATTTATCCTCATCAGCATATTTGAACATATTTGAAATTATTAGGTGGCTCCCATTAACACTTCATCTCTCCTGACTTCAATTAACTTTTGCTAACATCTGGACCATTTCCTTCAGGATAAACCAGCACAATAATGAGGTTATTATTGGGAGTCCTGAAAGTAAACAGTTCTAGAACTGAAGATGGGTCTGCTACTGAATGACTGGGTAAACTAAGACACATTATTATACTTCTCTAGACTTCAGTTTCTTCGTCTGTAAATAGCATCACAAATGGAATCTACATTACTTAATAATAAATAAGATCATGAAAGCTTAGCACATTGCCCAGCACAGAATAATTGCTTACTAAATATTATTTAACCAAGATGACTGGCAGGGAATGGAATTAAAGTAGAAGAGGGTTTTTGCTATCCCTTTGTCATCCATCAACACAAAACCATCAGCTCCTACCTGCTTGCCCATTAATTCCTTGTTCTTTCTGTTTGAACATGACCAGAAAAATTTTCAACTTCTATTTATTACAAATTAATGTAGTCTATGCCCCCTCCTATATTTTTCTTCCTTAGGTGGGTCCTAATTCACCCCAATTCTCATTACTTACCTTACTCCCTCACAAATATATATCCTTTTTTATTTTATTTATTTCTTTGAATCTTACCTCAGCAGGGTGTGCAGCCATTATATCTTTCAAACTTCGATCTAGGATCTTGGCCAGATCTTCATTCAGATCCCAGGAACCATTTGCATTTTGGAGGGAAATCAGCTGCACAAGATGATTCTCTTTAAAGATTTTGAGGAGAAAAAAACAGAGGATGGGAAATCGTGGAGCTACTAAATTCTCGCATACCCAAGAGAGGTTGCTAATTCAGAGGCTGTTTCTCAAGAGTACTACGGAGAGAAAGACATTAGAAAATATCCAGAAGATCAATTTTCAAACCTAACTTGTGAAAGGACAACCAATGGAACAGGGATCCAAAAAAGGTGGCAGCAGAGTTCTGCAGGGGGCCCAATCTGCAGGCAAGCTGTGAACTGGGATGGCAAAAGTGGGTTGTTCAACTAGGGGTCACCCAAGACTCCACTGGACTAGCAAGTTTCAGGGTCCCATATCATAGACTAATGAAGCTAGTTGGGCAGACACTGGCAAATATAGGGATTGAACAAATCTCACCTTCTGCCTGAGGCTTTTCAAACAGGTTACTTCCTGTGGAGACAAAGTCACAAGACAACAAAGCACTGAAGGTTAGTTCTTCAGTCTCCGTAGAACAGAAGAGTGAACTGAGGCCTAGCTCACCTGTATGATAAGTTTCCAAGTTGGTCCTATTACTGGAGGAACTAGTCTTTGCCATCTTGGGGGAAGACTTTCTGAGAAACATGTGTTTACTCTTGCTGCCGTAATCACAAGCTTGGGCCATGCATAATCCTATATGTATGACAGACAAACATAGGTGAGAAAAAGTTCCTCTAAAGATGTTCACCTAGTCTGTGCTGTCTCTTGCAATTTATCAACCTCTGGAGATCATAACCATCATGCTGGTGTGTCATGCTTGCACAATAAGCAATATTGCTTGTAGAATGAAATACAGGAGGATGACGGTGGGAGAGTAAGGCCTTTGAACATCCTGAAAAACACAAATGTTAAGACAGAGGCACCCCCTATTCTATGCAGTGAGCAAATGATCCTGATAATCTGAGACACACACCCTCTCATCCACATTGGCTTTGGTCACCATCCTTACTGTGCCTTTCTTTGCCCATGAGCACTCCTCCTACATACATCCTCACCCTCTGAGTGCTTGTTCTCCTTTCTGCAGTGGCCTCTGGAACTCCTGACACATGCTAAACAATCTTTTCTGAACCCTTAGTTTCACTACAGGAGGCTTCTTCCAGTTAAGGCTTAACTTAAACTAATTTATCCTCTCAAAAATTATTCTCCCTTTGTCCCTCTCAAATGGTTGTTGCTCAATGTACCACACTTCAAGCACCCGGATTTGGGAGGTGGCATTGGCAACCTTTTCAGCCCCAGATGCCTCCTTCAGATCAATACTCTTCTACCTTCACCCAGATTACCATCTACATGTCCTCGCTACTGTTGACTTCCAACCTCTTTGTCACTTCCTATCATCCACTAAAGTATCTGAAAGCTAGACTATAGACCTGCACTCCATTGCAAGGCCTGCCATCACCTTGAGAGATTTCAGCATCCATGTAGATAGCCTATTCAACATCCTAATGCAAAGCATCTTTGATTTCCTCTAATGCAGTCACTTCTGCTCCATTCTACTTCAGCCAATTCCCCACAGCCATGATGACCTTTTTATCATGCATATATATTATTCCACTTGCAGAAAATAAGTTGGAAACAAACGTAGTTTTAAAATACATTATCCAATTTTTTCTAACTCAGAGATTTTGACCTCATCTGGATCACTAAGTCCTTGGCTCCTTTACTTATTTCCTATATGTCAACTTGCTTCAATCTTTACTTTCTCTTCTATTCAGCCTAAATCTCAGGTTTAACAATGTACCACCATCTCCTCAATATAGTCAGTTCTACATCCCTAAGTTCTTTTCATCATATCCATCTGGCAAAATCCTAACCTCAAAAGTAAGCAAACACTCTACTCCTTTCATTCTTAAACCACAGTTATTGGATACTGCCCAAATTAATCTCATAAGATATAATTCTCTTTAGCACTTTGGTGCTGTTAAAAATCTCAAGATATCTGAACAAAAGTGGACCCTCAACACTCTTTGACAAATGTTTCTGTTTTTCCCTGGGCATTCCACCTCCAGCTGACCCCAGTGACTCCTTCAAACCTTTTTTTTTTTTCTTTCAAATCCTCTATTTCACCATTTCTAGATTCATACCTATTGTCTATGTTCTACAAATCTAATCTCATCACCTTTATTTCTCTTCCAGGACATAGTGGGAGAATCATTTGTCCTATTGAGGATAATTCTTCCAGTGCCACTTGGGATCTCAGTCCCTTCTACTTTCTCAAACACCCTTCCCAATCAGACAGCTTTTTCTACTCCAGTATTTTCGACATTCTCTATCGGCATACTCTACTAGCATTGCAATATTCTCAACTCTCTCCTATTCTAAAATTTCAAAGTGATATAACAGACAGAAACTCAACCTTACAACATCCTCTATCTATAAATATCACTTTTCATTTCCTTCACTTTCCAGTCTAACATTTATAAAAAGTTTATATACAAGTTGCCTCTCATTTCCCAACTCTCATTTACTCTTTAACATCCTATAATGTTGATTCTCTCCTTACTACATTGATAACATTTCTCTTAATGAGATCAGCAAGTGCTTCCCTGATGTTAATCCAATAATCCCTTTTCAGTTTTTACTTCAACCTCTCTGCAATCGTATAGTCTGATAACTTCCCTTATTATGACATATCTTTCTTTAGTTTTGAAGTTTAATCTGTTTCTTCACTTATTTTCTTGCTGCCTCGTTCCTTTTTAATCTTGTTTGTGGACTCCTCTGTGATCCATTCCTTATATACTGTGTATGGTTCAGGGTCTCAATCTCACCCCACTTTTCATCTCACTTGATACCTGTCCCTTGAATAAGCTCATTCATTCTCATGAATTTAGTTATTACCTAGATGTTAACTATTGCCAAATGTTTATTTTTATCCCTCACATCGCTTTGAACACCAAATCCATCTATATACATTATTACTAGACATCTTTGTGTATATATTCCATAGATATCTCAAGTTCAAAAAGCTCCAAAAATAATTCGTTACCCCCCTAAACTTACTCTTGTATTTTTCTCCCTATTTTCATAAATAACACCATTATCTACTCAGTTACTCAACCATAAGTCTGAACATCATCCTTAGTGACTTCCCACTTCCACATTTAATCAATCCTTAAATTGACCTTCTTATAATCTGCAGTACAATTCTTTTCTTTTTTGTACTCATTAATAGCACTTCAGTTTAATCCGTTTCTTCTTCCTCCTGTTTTAATACAATAGATTGTTATCTGGTCTCTAGAGACTGTGCTTCTTCTCAAACTATTCTTCACATTGGTATAGGTGCGGTAGTTATAAAACAGTGTTAATTACATAAATTCTATCACTGTCATTAATTCAATCTCCTTTAAAATATGATCCAAACTCTTTAATACAGTTAACTACAAATATAGTTAATAATAATATCTAACTAATAGAATTATTGTGCAGTTTAATTAAGTTAGTACATGAAAAGTTATTGAAACAAAACCAGATATACAGTAAGCTGACACAAGTGTTAGCTACCATCATTATCATCACCATCATTCACCAGTCTCTTGGTCCACCCTTATCATTCACCTAAGAATTTGAGAACTGACCCATGGGGTTTTTTCCAAAGTCCTGTTATCATCCTAAGTGAGATCATTATATGTGGATGATCACTCCTACAGCTTAACACAACATCCCTTGACTTACTCAATGTTCATAATGTAGTTCTCTGTTTTCCCCTATCTTTTCTCATTCTTCACTTTACCCTGTATGTTCTAGCCAAAGTACAACACCTACATCACTTGTCTCTCTCCTTATTCCTTTTTATATCTAGGTCTTTTCAGATGCTGACCTCAATACCTAGAATGCTTTTCCTTGCAGGATAATCTATCCTTGCAATTCCTTGCAGGATAATCTATCTAGTCCTTTAGGTCTCAGTTTAGATGTCACCTATTTAGGGAAGACTTCTTTGATTTTCACACCACCCCTACTAGGTTTATTACTTCTCTTACCTGCCCTCACACACCTTGAGCTTACCCATGTTGTGGTACTCTTCATAGCTTCTTGAAAAATCTGCTCATCTGTTTGCTTCCTCTCTCTCCCCAACCCATATTTCCAACCTATAAAGTTCTTGGGGATGGGGATTTCATTATTTTTAACCACTGTATATCTAATGATAAGTACTATAAATAATATATAACAGGTATCAAAATAGTTAAGTGTTTAAAGAAATTAGCAATGCACGAATGATACAAAATTCACCTTGAAGACTGCCTCCAGAACTCTATGGGATCCTGTCCAGGGAATTTCTTTACTTAACCCAACTCTCCAATCACCTAATCTCTATAATCAGGCCCTTTTGGTTTATGACTGAGACCCTCCTGGCAGTTTGCACCTATTCCCTAATACTATCAGGCTGTTCGTCAACCATCCGTGTGACAATCAACCATCTAATTATCAAGGAGATAGAGCAGGATATCAGCAAGATGGCTGACTAGAGGTGTTTAACCTCACCCTCTCCCCAAAATAACAAATAAACAACTACATTCTGACTAGAGTGTCTAAAAACAAGCTCTGGAGTACACAGTAATGGAGTGGTATAAACCCTGTGGAGCACAGAAACTCCAGATGGCAACATAGAGAAGGGAAGGAAACACCCTGTCTCTACCACTCTTCAGTCTCCCCAGTTGGAGTCAGCTTGGAATCAGGCTTCCTGCAGAGAAAAGTTAAGCAAAAGGTCCCCAGCATCTCCCTTCCCTCCTGCAGACACATGAAGCCTTTACTACAGGAGAATCCAACAATCCCTACAAGACCTGAGCCCATTCTAGGAAGCTTTCTGGAATTCACACGACTGCATTACTCCACAGAAGAAGACTATGTTGTACCACCCCCCTCCATAATCCAAGGTGCTACTGCAAAGTGTCACCTTGAAACTGGAGCCACTGTTAGAATGTATTCTACTCAGGAGACGGTAATCACTGCATTGCTCTGTCCATGATCCTTTGCCACACTGACACATGGTAGTGCAGCATTCTCCAGCTGAGCTTCTGCAGCTCCCTACCCCTTGAAATCAAGCTTCCTAGCATTATCCTGATACCAACACCAGACAAGGACACAAAAACAAAAATTAAATTAAAATAAAACTACAGGTCAATATCCCTGATGAACACAGATGCAAAATTCTTAACAAAATATTAGCAAACCGTATCCAAAAGCAAATTAAAATGATCATTCACCATGATCAAGTGGGATTCATCCCAGAGATGTAAAACTGATTTAATATACAGAAATAAATAAACACAAATCACAGTCATAGTATTAAGGACAAAATCTATATGATCACTTCAATAGACACAGAAAAATTATTTTACAAAGTTCAATATCCCTTCATGATAAAAACTCTCAACAAATTAGGTATAGATGAAATGTACCACAACACAATAAAGACAGTCTATGACAAATCCACAGCTAATATTATATTGAACAAGGAAAAATGTTTGCTCTAAGATCAGGAACAAGACAAGGATGTTCACTTTCACCACTTCTATTCAATATAGTACTGGAAGACCTAGCCAGAACAACAAGGCAAGAGAAAAAAAAAAGGCATCCAAATGGAAAAGGAGGAAGTTAAGTTGTCCCTTTTTGTAGATGACATGATCTTATACTTTGAAAATCCTAACAACTCCACCAAAAAGTTGTTAAATCTAATAAACAAATTCAGTAAGGTTACAGAATACAAAATCAACATACCAAAATCTATAGCATTGCTATACACAAATAGCAAACTATCTGAAAAAGAAATCAATAAAACAGTCCCACTTGCAATAGCTAAAAAATAATTAAAACACTTGGGAATAAAGTTAACCAAGAGGTGATAGATCTCTATACTGAAAACTATAAAATATTATGAAAGAAACTGAAGTAGACCCAAATAAATGAAATTATATCCCTTGTTCATGGATTGTAAGAATAAATATTGTTAAAATGGCCATACTGCCTAAAGCAACTTATAGAATCATTACAATCCTTATCAAAATAACCAATGACATTCTTCACAAAAACAAAATTCCTACAACTTCCATAAAAGTATAAAAATAAGCCAAAGCAACATTGAGCGAAACAAAATCAAGGCTAGAGACATCACACAACCAGACTTTAAAATATACTTGTGTAGTAACCAAAACAGCATGGTACTTGCATAAAAACAGACATATAGACCAATAGAACAGAATGGAGAGCCCAGAAATAAATCTACATATTTGCAGCCTACTAATTTTTAACAGAGGTGCTAAGAACTAACAATGAGTAAAGAAAAGTCTCTTCAATAAATGGTGTAGAAAAAACAAATATACACATACAGATGAATAAAATTAGACCTTTTTCTGTTCTCATATACAAAAACAAACTCAAAATGGATTAAAGACTTAATGTGAGACCTGAAACTATGAAAGTACTAGAAGGAAACATAGGGAAAGGAAAATAACTCCATGACATTGGTCTGGGAAGTAACTGTTTTTGATATAACCTTAAAAGCACAGGCAACAAAAGCAAAAATATAGGCAAATCAGATTATATTAAACTAAAAAGCTCTGTACAGAAAAGGAAATGATCAATAAAGTGAAGAGACAACATAGAAAATGGGAGAAAGTACTTGCAAATCAAATATCTGACAATATATTCAAAATACACAAGGAACTTAACTCAGTAGCAAGAAAGCAAATAACCCTAATAAAAATTAAAAGAGTTGAATAGACATTTCTCAAAAGAAGACATAAACGGTCAACAGATTTATGAAAAACACTCAACATCACTAATCATCAGGAAAACACAAATCAAACCACAATAAGATATCACCTCATATCTGTTAAAATGGCTATTATCAAAAAAGAAAAAAATAACAAGTGTTGGCAAGAATATGGAGAAAAAGAAACCCTTGAACGTTGTTGTTGTGAATGTAAATTAGTATAACCATTACAAAAAACTGTATGGAGGTCCCAACAAATATTCAAAATAGAACTATCATATGATGCAGCAATCCCACTCCTGGGTAGATAGCCAAAGACCTGAAATCAGTATGTTGAAGAGATATCTGCACTCCCATATTTATTGCAGCACTATTCACAATAGTCAAGATAAAGAATAAAACAAAGTATGCATCAACAGATGAACCGATAATAAAAATGTGATATATATACACAATGGAACATTATTCAGCCATACAAAAAGAACTCCTGTCATTTGAGACAGCATGAATGAACACGGAGAACATTATGTTAAGTGAAATAAGTCAGGCACAGAAAGACAAATACTTAATTATCTTACTTCAATGTGGAATCCAAAAAAGCTGATCTTATAAAAGGACAGGAGCCGGGCTCGGTGGCTCAGCCTGTAATCCCGCACCTTTGGGAGGCTGAGGTGAGTGGATTGCCTGAGCCCGCGGGTTCGAGACCCGCCTGGGCAGCGAGACCTCATCTCTGCAATAAATAAAAAAATCAGCTGGGCGTGGTAGCGCATGCCTGTAATTCCGGCTACTTGGACGGCTGAGGCGGAAGGATCGCCGGAGCCCAGCAGGTCGAGGCTGCGGTGGCCGGGAGCGGCCACTGCACTCCAGTCTGGGCGACCCAGTGAGACTCCAACTCAAAAAAAAAAAAAAAAAAAAAAAAAAAAAAGGACAGAGTACAATGGTAGCTACCAGAGGCTCAGATAATCAGCAGCGAGCAGGGAAGGGAAGATGTTGGTAAAAGGATACACAAATACAGTTAGATAGAAGCGGGGGAGATTCCAGAACAGACTAATATATAGCTATAGAAAGGAGGCACCGATTGCCTAGGGCTGGTAGGCTGGGAAAGTGAAGGAGAGGTTAGGCAGGAAGAGATTTAGGAAATGACTGCTAATAGTGACAAAGTTTATTTCTTGGGTGATGAAAATGTTTTAAACTTGATTGAGACAATGGTGACACAACTTTGTGAACATGTTAAAAAAAAAAACTGGACGGTACACTAGATGGGTGAATTGTATGTTATGTGAATTCTATCTCAATAAAAAAATAAATCAGTTCAGATTAAGCAGTTTGATTACTCAATGCTTAGGTGCATCTTCTGTGTTTTAATGTTTGCTTCTTTTCTCTTAGATTATTTTAAATCTCGTTGCCAACGGCATATATTCTAATTCCCTGAGATAGAAAAGTTTAACACTATCCAGAAATCCTAAATGTGAAGGAGCAAAGAAAAAAGGCAACTTAAGAATATCTCACAACCTTTTCCTTTAAATAATGTGCTAAGATAGTCTACATGTTTCTGTATTAGTTTGAATGGACTAAAACTCACCAATTCTAGCTGTTCCTGATGCCCGCAAGACAGGACTAGCCAGAATTGGCCTTGGAATGTCCCTCCGAGTCAGTGGCCCCTGAACTGGCTCGTTGAGCTCCTTGTTGATAGCAAGAAAGGCTGTGAAGGAGCTTATTACTCCCGACTCAAGACTGAGGTTCAGCACATCTTTTTTATCGCTTGCTGGGGTCTCCCTGAAGCCCATATCCTTGGTCTGGAGCAAGGACTTGGCAGCAAGGCGGTGAATGGTGAAGCTGAAAGAAAAAAAATCCTGTAATTTAGGGGAAAATATCTATATGCCAGTTACTCAGGGCTCTTAAAAGTTAAAAACAGCAGGGGGAAGAAAAAGTCAGATAAGGGAGAGATACAACTTGGGTAACTTAAAAATAAAAGATGATTGTAGGGAAACAATTACAATTGTGCCCAGGATTAAGAGAAGGATTCTTCAACCCTCAAGAATGGCAGAGAAGGGGGGGGAGGGGAAGTAGGAGAGGGAGGGGTAATAGAGAAAAAGGCAAAAGAAAACTATGAATGCTCACTTGGCATCAGGTTTGGGTTGGAGAGAAAATGTTACTTTGTCTTCAAAACTCTTGCCCTGGAGTGTATATTTGAGGCATACTTCTCCTGTTGTCCCTGCTGGCTACAAATTCGAGAAGAGGAGAAGAGATGAAAGAAAGAGTCACTAAGAGAAGGATCAGAATGGAAGCAGCTCCCCAATATAACACATTAAAATCACTGACAAGTAATCAAGTAGCCCAGGAAACCAGAGACCTGAAACAATGAAGAAGAGGATAGACTGGTCTGCTGAGATTCAAATCCACCTACCAGCTTTAATGAAATTGTCAGTGTGGTAGTTACTCCAACTATAGGAACAAATAAGAATGGGAACTTACTGGCATCATACCAGTCAACTGGGCATAGAAGATTAACCTCTGACCCTGAAAGATAACAGTCTGCTCTGGGGAAAGCATTTTCGCAGACAGGCCAGGAGGCAAATCCCAGCTCAGGGAGACATTTTCTACCACAGACTGTAGAGACTGCTTCAGAGTTCTAAGAACCTAATGAAAGAAAGAGAACACAGTAAGAACAAACAAATAATACTGACAATGATAGCTACTAATTAACTAAATATTTATTATGCATCAAGTGCTATGCAATATAATACATGACAGGACTACTCCTTAATACTGTACTTGGAAATGGGCATTATTTCTTCTCTTGCTTTCACACATGAGGAAGCTGAAATACTTAATAATATAAATGTGAATAAAGAAAATGTTTGGAATACAAGAAGGGGATTAGATAAGAGACAGCATAATTGGAGAGAAGAGCTTAGAAATATAGCCAGAAATGTCTTCTCTTTGTGCAGACTAATCACATGGGATAGCAGTTTACTACTTTTCCAATCTATTAGACATGGCACAATTGTTCTTTCTCCTTTTCTTTGCATTCTTTGCATGGAGGATAGGATACAATACCAAGAGGTCCTAAGCACAGCCCTAGACTCTCAATCATGAAAGCCAAATCTCTTAGTTTCTCTCTCTTTGGTCTTAAATACAAAGGCTCCAATCTCTTTCAGCATCTCATCTCTGGGCTTGTAGCTACTGGGTCCACAAGTAATTTCTCCAGATACTACAGTGAGCCCATTTTACATGAGGCCAAAAGTAGCCCTCCTAATACAGCCCAAGGCCTTGGGGACATAAGAAAGACATTCTAGAGGAAGTTGCTGCCCCTATCCTTGCAGTGTCAGCCACCCTGTCCCACCTCTGGACACAAAGCCTGCTCCTCACCTTGGACTGCATCCTGTCATTGCCTGTGATAAATTCGGCAGCGCCCCCTGAAACTCGGGCAATGCCTTTTATTAGGCTGGTGGAGGCACCTTCTCCAATACCAAATGAGAAACATCTGCAATAGTAAAAGGACAGAGGTTAGAGACGCACACTAAAAGGTGAAAGCATAAAATTAACACAAAATGGTTGCAAATGCATAAAGAGATAGTTTTATTTTCTGACTAAAATTGTAATAGCTACCATTTGTTGAGGCTACTTTACATTTTAGGAGCAATAAAAATGCCTTAAATTAATGATGAAATGTAATCATCACCATACTCTCTAATAAGCAGGCTTCTGATTCATTTTTCAGATAAAAAACTGAAGGCCAGAGAATTTTAAAAATCTGTCCCATATCACACACTTGCTAAATTCTGGAGATGTCACTAGAACACTGGTCTATCTAACTATAAGATTCCCCTGGAAAACCAGTGCCTGCCTAACATTGTTCTGGTACCACACCTGCCCTGGTAAGGCCATTCTCAGGGCAAGAAAATGTACCTCCCGTATTTTCTGCCTTAGTCCATGTGCACCAAATAGTTTCTTAACCATAATTTATTTTCTCAATAAAAATGCTTATAAACAAAGAATGCATGAGCAATGCTAATATAGTAAATTTTAGAAGGCATGACGGAGATTCTTGGTCTCTTTTGAGTTAGATTAGTGTGTGAATCATCATTTCTAAGACTAGTGACATCAGCATTAAGATCAATGCTCTACACTTAGAAAACTAAGAACCAGACTTCCAAGTGTGGTAAGCTTCCTATAATAATGCTCCCTAAATACCATAGCATGCCAGCATCTTGATACCACCACCTTTATATTTCTAACATGATCTTTGAACTACAGACTATGTTATAAAGTACTCTTATGTATATTCTAAATGTTTTTTTTGTATAAAACCAAAACTAAACAATATTTACTGATGGTTAAGTATATGCTTAGAACAAACTAAAGTACCAAATACGGATAATAATAAAAATCAAAATAACAATTATAATAATAGCAAAATTTCATATAGCACTTACTTTGTATCAAACACTTTATTTAGATACACTCTTTTAACAATAAACCTATATGTGAGTACTTTTAGTATCTCTGTTTCAAGTGAGGAAACTAAGGTTTACAGAAGTTAGATGATTTGGCCAAACAGCAGGCAAGCAGAAGAACTAAAAGTGAAATAAATGACTTCTGACTTAAAATAACACAGTAGGAAAGTTCTGCTCATAGCAATATCAGAATACGTTGATTCAAGCCGGTAGAGAACTAGAAAAGCTGCATACAATATTTTTAATAATTTGTCTTCATACAAGCTGTATACAATATTTTTAATAATTTGTATGACGACATCAAAGGACTACCAATAAAAAAATCTATGGGCTCAGACTTGGGAGAGAAGGGAAATGAACCTAGCATCTGGTGTCCCTTTACCTTTTGAAGTAAGTGCCAAGTACAAAACGGGTGGCTTAAAAGCTAAGCAGTTACACACAGGTAGAAAAAAATAGCAATACAGGCTTTTCAAAGGGGGGGGGTTACTCTTGTAAGCACCTCAGGATTTTAGATAGAACCCTGTAGGACTACCCTAGGGATAGACACGAATCAGAAATAGATCAGCCATCACAATCATTGATGTTCATTACACCTTAACTGAATTAAGACTATCTGTACCTGGTTGAGGAACCCATCAGAAGCAAAGGGAAGATGTCATCTAGACACTCAAATAATTTCTATAATTTTTTATTTAAAATATCTGACAACTAATGAAAAATAGAAAATCCTCAAATATTAGGAAATTAGGCACTGTACATTACTACATAGGCTTATAAAAGAAATCATAATGATAATTAGAAAATATTTTTAAGTGAATGCCAATGGCAAATGATATATCTAAATTTAGCATTTAGCTATAGATATGCTTAAATGAATAGCTCTAAATACACACTTCAGGAAAAAAAATCTAAAAATCAGTTACCTAAGCATCAATCTCAAGATATAAGAAAAACCACTGCCAATAAACCCAGTGTTGTAAAACAAAAAAATAATAATAAAGATAGGAGCAGTTACAATAAAAGAGAAAACACTCATCCAATAGAGAGTATCAACAAACTATCAACAAACCCAAAAGTGGTAGTGTTTAAAAACATTATTAAAATTGATAAATATCTTGGGCAAGGAAAGAAACAGAAAAAAGGCACGAATAACCAAGATCAGGAATGAAAAGTAGTATCACTACGTGTTCTACAAAATTTAGTAACATTGTTAGGCAGTATCATGGACAATTTAATGCAAAGAAATTTGAAAATTTAGTTAAAATATATAAACTTCTATAAAAAACAAGAACACTTGAAAATATGAATAGTTAAAAAAAAAACTTTTCCACAAAAAGTCTCCAGGCTCTGATGGCTTCACTGGTAAATTCTAATAAACATTTAAGAAAGAAAATCTTTCAGAGAACAGAAAAAAGGCAACTTTCATAGCTCATTAGTTATGATACTAGCATAACACTGAAACCAAAACCTGACAAGACATTATCAGGAACAGAAATATATACCAATATTTCCTGTGGTAAAAGTTTCAAAATCCTAAACAATTATTAGTCAGCTGAATAAAAACTATACAAAAGAAGAAATATATCACTACTTTTGGTTTATTCCAGAAATCCATGGTGGGTCTAACATTTAATAATAATTTAACAATAATAATAATCATTATGATGCACACTTTAAAAGAATAAAGGATAAAATCATACATTCATCTCAACAGAAGCATAAAATGCATTTGATGGAATTTAATAATATTCATTATTCAAAAAAGAAAGAGGAAAGAAATCGCAAAACAGAAATAAAAGGAATTCTCTTAATCATACCATACTTAATGGTACAATGTTGAACATGTTCCCTCTGAAGTCCAAAATAAGGTAAGAATGCTAGCTATACAGATTTGTATTAGAGGTCCTCTTGTGAAACACTGAGAAAGGAGGAAACATTTTAAAAATAAGAATTGAAAAGAAAAAATAAAATTGGTATTTTTTACAAACATGATTATCTAGAGAAAAATCTAAATGAATCAACAGATACATAATTGAACTAATACCTAAATTAAGATTATTAAATACAAAGTCAAAGTAAAAAAAACTATTGAAATTATATACAAACATCCAGTAAATAAAATTATTTTAAAAATACTATTTAAGCCGGGCTTGGTGGCTCAGCCTGTAATCCCGTGCCTTTGGGAGGCTGAGGTGAGTGGATTGCCTGAGCCCGCCTGGGTAGCGAGACCTCATCTCTACAATAAATCAAAAAATCAGCCGGGCATGGTAGCACATGCCTGTAATTCCGGCTACTCAGAAGGCTGAGGTGGAAGGATCGCCGGAGCCCAGCAGGCGAGGCTGCGGTGGCTGGGAGTCTGGGTGATCGAGTGAGACTCCAACTCAAAAAAAAAAAAAAAATTATTTAAAATAGAATTGAATACCTAGGGAAAAAGTTAATAAAAATGCATGAATACTTCGACACAGAGAATTATTGTAAAATATAACAAAGTGATTTTGTGTGTACAGGTCTTCCCTTATCTGAGGTCTCACATACAGCAGTTTTAGTTACCTACAGTCTGAAAATATTAAATGAAAAATTCCCAAAATAGACAATTCATATGTTTTAAATTATACACTGTTCTGAGTAGTATGATGAAATCTTGTACCATCTTGCTCTGCCCCAACCAGGGCACGAATCCTCTTTTTGATAATCTGTCTACACTATCTACATGTCAATCACTTAGTAGTAGTCTGGGTTATCAGATCGACAGTCATGGTATCGCAGTGTTTGTGTTCAAGTAACCCTTATTTTACTTACTTGTTTTATTTTATTAATAGTTGCTGTTAATCTTTTACTGTGCATCATTTATAAATTAAATTTTATCATAAGTATGCATATAGGAAAAGACAGTATATACAGGTTCAGTAATCCCTGTGATTTCAGGCATCTACTGGGAGGCTTGGAATGTATCCCCCATAGATAAGGGCAGACTACTTAATGATAGATTGAGGAAATTTGTGAATTTATTGATTTTTGTGGGAAACTAGGTTTCTTTTTGGGGGGGGAGGGGAGAGGATCACTTGAATCCAAGAGTTCAGAAACTAGGTTTCTTACCATGGAGGTAAGAAGACACAAATAGGCAATTAGAGAAAAAAGAGAAAGAATGCTACATTGTTATCTCTGAAACAGGAGCATCAGTAAAAATTCACTGATGTTGTTTTTCTAACATTTGCCAGTTCTATCAGCTGAAAATGCCTAGAATCAATAACAGCCTCATAGTAAACAACACATCGAACACTCAAATATTAATTTCTATTTATTGTTTTCATAAAACTCAATAGGGCTTCTAGAAGACATAGCTGACTGCAGGGCTGGAAAAGTATGACTGAGTCTGAAACACTGTTAGAAAGGAAGCATTCATAATGCAAAAAGATGTGAAAAAGACATAAGAGCAAGTTAAAAGGGCTCATACTGGTCAAATCTCAAAATTGTGAGACTATAAATGAATAGTGAGAGCTATATATCTTAACACATTGAAAAATAGTGAAAGAGTCCAAGAGTACATATTGATATAACAAAAGGAAGGGAGAAAGACACGAATGAAGGAGGGGAGGGAAGGATGGTGGGAGGAAGCAAGGGAGGGAGGAAGGAAAAAAATCTTTTATTTACAGTAGCATCCCAACTAATACATGGAAAAGCTGACAAAATTCTTAAATCACCATTTTGTAACCACTAATAGTAATAACTGACCTGGGCAATAATCACCAATAAATGCTAAAAACTACCAAGTAAACATTGAGAACAAGATGTTTACAAAATATGAAAGTTACTTGTTAGATACTACCTTTAACAAAGTAGTCACACAAACACAAATTGAAATTCTACAAAAATAACTGGCTAGTACTATTTCAAAATGTCGATCATCAAAGAAAATGAAAAGCTGTGAAACTATTCCAGAGTAAAGACAACTAAAAAGAAATAGCAACTAAATAAAATACTCATTCTTGGATTTGTTCTTGGAACAAACACAAAACAAACAAAGAAATAAAAACTATAAAGGATATATATAAAACTATTAAAGGATTCAAAGAAAAATTGGCAGATATAGCCTGTAGTTAGATAATAACATTATCTCCACTTTAAATGTCCTGAATTTAACAGTTTTATGTGAGTTAGCCAAATGTCCGTGTTCTTAGAAGATGAGAGCATAACCATTTATATATGGAGAATTATGACATCTGTGCCTTGTGGTCAAATATTTCACACACAAAAAAAAAAGGTGAAGCAATTGAAAGGTAAAGGTAGACAACCAGTAGACCTGGGTGAAGGGTAAATGAGTGTCCATTGTTCTATTCTTGCAACTTTCCTGAAGGTTTAAATTTTCTAAATAGAATACTGGAAACAAATATTTTGAGAAATCAAGAAAGACCAAAATAAATAAAAGGATGTAGATTAGAATGATCAATATAGTTAATACTAAATCCTCCCAACATTAATTTAACAAAGTCAATGCAATTTTATTCAATATTCCAACAAGTTTTTGTTTGTTTTGTTTTGGTAAAAACTGACAAGCCAATATAAAGCCCAGTATAGGAGACTGGTATAACTTCGAGTCCACGATAACTAAGAAAATAAAGCTGAGGACTTACCCTATTGTACATAATGATTTATCATAAAGCTACATTACTTTATATGGTGTAGTATTGGCATATGTCTAGATGAATATATAGATCAGTACAATGGAACAGAGGAACCAGAAACAATTCACACATATACAGATGCTTCTTTGTGATAAAAATGGCACTGTACATCAGTGAGGAAAGGAAAAACTTTTCAATAACTGGTATATGGTCAATTTGATATCCACATGGGAAAAAAATTAAACTTGACTCCAATATCATACAATACACACAAGTAAATTCCCAGTGAAATATAGATCTAAACATAAAAGATAAAATAAAACTTCTTGAAAATAACAAAAAGAAAATATCTTTATGATCCTGGGAAGGAAAACATTTTTAACAGGACATAAAAAGATACTAATCATAAAGGAAAATACACACAAAAAAGGACAACATTTACATTAAGAACAACTATTTCTCAAATACACTGAAAGTAAAAAGGCAAGCTACTGAGTAAGAAAATACAGATGTTTCTAGAACATACAGTTAACAAATTGCTTGTATTCAGGTTAAAGAATGGACTATAAAACAGAAAAGAAAATTGATCTAATAACAACTAATTAAAATAGAAAAAAGACTTGAAGGCACATTACAAATGAGGACATCCAATTGGCCAATAAATATTAAATTGTGCTCAACTTCATTAGTCATTAGGAAAACTTAAAACCATTTTAAGATACCGTTATACACACACAAAATTGGCTAAAATTTGAAGACAAGCAATTACAAAATTTTAGATAGGAAATGAGGCAATTAGAGCTCTTCTATAATGATGGTATAAGTTAAATTAGTACAATAACTTAGAAAACTGCTTGGCACTTCCCAGAAATTCCACAATTCTGTCTACCCAAGGAAATTTACATGCATATAAATACATATATATGCATATACTTGTATGTGCGTACAAAAATACATGTACAAAAATACAATGTGGTACATATACATGATGGAGTATCACACAGTCATAAAGAGGAACAAAATCATGGACTTTGCAGCAAAATGGTTGGAGTTGGAGACCACCATACTTAGTGATCTATCACAGAAACAAAGAACTGAATACCACATGTTCTCATTCATAGTGGGACCTGAACAGTAATCATAATTACACAAGAGAAGGATCGGCAGTCACTGGGCACTACCAGGGGAGAGAAGAAGGAAGTGGGGCATGTAACAACGCAAAGGGTATCTGGTCCAAACCAGGGAAAGTGAGGGCCAGTTGGAGGCCCAAACTTCACCTGTATGCAGCCTACTTGTGTAGTTAATCCTTACCTGTATCCCACATGTCTATAATATAATAAAATAAATACAAGAATGCTCATAGAAACATTATTTTTAACAGCTAAACCAAAGTCTACCAGCATTAGAATCAATAGATACATTATGATCATTCTTCCACACCAGTAAAAATTAACTATGGCTATATGTAAAATATGTATGCATGTCTCAACATACTGCTAAAAGAAAAAAGAAGCAATATACACAAAAACAAAAACATACTATATAACTCATTTATTTTTTATTCAAAACCAAGCACAAATAGCCCAGGGTGTTATAAGTCAGGAAATCTATAAATTAAGAGTGATGGACAGGGCATGATGCAAAAGAGTAGAGATGAAGAGGTCTTGGTAACATTCTAGTTTTTCATCTTTGTAACAATTGCACAAGTGTCTTCATTGTGACAATTCATCTAGCTGTATGCTTATTATTTGTGTAGTTTTCTGTATGTTTTACCTTGATAAAAATGTTTATAGCAAAAAAAATTAGCATCTTACTATTCAAGTCTTGTTCCACTGTATTTAGAAAGAATAAGAGAGAATGATTTTGCTGTGTTGTTTATATTATTTGAAAAACTAATATTAATTTTAATAGAGAGAAATAAATTATCATCTGGTAAAACTAAAATTCTGAAACCATTCTGTCCTCTGCAAGGAATGTCAACACTTGAGTCATGCAGTACTAAATTCTTTGTGACACTACTTGGGTCCAGTCACCCAGAAATAACATTTTCTTCATACCTGTGTTTATGGCTGTTGATCTCAACTTCTTTAATTACACTAAATGTGTCAGTAACTTCCCCATCTGTGAAGACAAAAAGCTACACAAACAAACAAAAAAGTTCATCAAGTCTCTCTCAAATTCATTTTAAGAAATTAGGATCTACCCTTAAAAACCCAATAGTCTCATTTCAGAGGCTCTGATGCCTCTTCAAACAGGCATAAGATCTCCAATGTTCCACTGTCACTAGGATCACATTCTCACATGGTCTGTTCAAACCCTGGGAATTTCAGCATCTCCTCCTCCTAGCTTCATCTAAGCGTCTATGGCACTCTACAAAAGAACTTCCATCATCCACAGCATGGAATTAAGAAGAAAAATGCCTCTTGTCTTTTTTTTTCTTTTTTATTATTTAATAAAAGACTCAGGCTGGGTACAGTGGCTCACGCCTATAATCCCAGCATTTTGAGAGACCAAGGCAGAAGGATTGCTTAAACCCAAGAGTTCAAGAACAGATTGGAAAAGATAGCAAGCCCTCGTCTCTACAAAAAATCAAAAAATAGCCAGATGTGGCGGCATGTACCTGTAGTCTCAGCTACTTGGGAGGCTGAGGAGGAAGGATCACCTCGGTCCAGGAGGTTGAGGCTGTGCTGAGCCATAATGACACTGCACTCCAGTTTGGGTGACAGAGTGAGATCCTAACTCAAGATAATGACAATTATTATTATTATTATAGTAATAATAATAATAAAAGTCTGAATTACAAACACTATTCATCAATCTGGCAATGAAGCTCAGGGGTATAGATTCTTGAACAGAGATTTCACCCCCTGTGTTCCTTCTGTTAGCTCTGTTCCAATTCTTACCTGTAAGGGGTGACCTGGGATGGAGGGTCCCTTGTAAATATTCTGGAGTGGTGCCAAGATTTCGGTGCCCCCTAGATCTGCCTGCATAAGCTTAACTTTCTCCAATGCCTCCTCCATGGTTTGCTGAGTGTACTTCATACTCGCCCTGAAAAAAACAAACACACTCAGTTACATGATGGCTGCTTGGCATTGCCCAGTGTTGAATCCCTGAATTGAGAGACCTCCACCAAAAGTCAATCTTACCTGAAATCCCCAATGCCAAAGTCAATTCTGCAGTAAACTTTTTAATAAACTAGTCTCTTTCTTTAAAGTATCATTTTGCACTTTCTATGGCCTTTCCAGAAACTTACTGAAAGAATGCATCATAGGAAGAGCCAAATCCATAGATGTTGAAATAACAGCCTATAGGCAAACTCTTCAGCAGCAAAATCAATGTTTCCTGAAGGTAAGGGTAGTATGGAGAGACAGATTGAGAAAGGATTCTCCCAACACACAGACTCCGCCTGTCTAACTCTTAAAGGTATAAGTCATCAACACCCCCGTGAGCCTTCTTATATTACAAGACTAGCCTCAGAGTGGTCATGCCTGCTGTAACTCAGGTAAGAAACAGACCTATAGCTCCAAATGGGCCCTAACTTAATCCCTCAGACTCATCCTCACTTGAGCGTGTGACCCAGAAAAAGAAAGAAACTAGTTTTACCTTGGCTGCCTGTATGCGTGACTGAGTATCCTGTTTACTCATGGGCATCTGCATACTTCCTGAGCGGTCCATGAGGAAGACAAACTCTCCACAGGTATTTGGTGACTGAGCTTCTGGGATATTTGGATAGAAACTCACCATTGCAGATGGATTTCCCATCAAACAACCTGCACAGAAAGGATAAAGATGCTGTTAAGGTAAAAAGGAACTCAAGAACCCTAAAGGCCCCAAGAATCAATGGTAGTGAATTCAATAGCGAGCTGAGAAAATTCAAATCTAAACACGACGTTTGATCATTATGTATTTATGATTGTAAATAGTTTGAGGTGAGTTATAAACATATGAGACAAAAGCAAAAAAGATATGCAAGAGAAGAAAAAGGGTAGAGATTAGAAAGCATAAGAAATCATTAGAATATTGTCAATGAACAGAAGATTCCTGGGAGCTAAGTAACTGAGTGGAACACATTAGGTAAAGATTTTCCAGCATTTGTCGAAAGAATCAAACACGTTTATCTAAAGAAGCAAACCTTCTCTTCAAATCAAATCAATGGGAAATTTATCACATGGGTTCCTGTTTAAGCTGTTAATTAAAGATTTGAAAAAGTGATATTTATGTGGACAATTTTTAGGTTGAAAATTTTACAAGAATTGAATGTAGCATAAGTATTATATGCACCAAGGTAAGTCTGTCTGCTTTGGATATGAAGCACTCACTGATAGTACCCTGAGGAAAGGGAAGCACTGGGATTTGTGTTGGACTCTAATAGCATCAGCCAAACAATGGGGTGGGGAAGACTACAGAAGCCTAGTTTACATGGCCAAGTTGCCAAAGCCATAGCTTAGACTATTTTCCAGAGAATGTGAAGGCTGATGCATGAATTGAAATGCTAGTATTGAGACAGAGATAAAATTAGAATGGGTTGTTATATCAACTTGAGCTTTACAGTTCAGAGAATAGGAGAATATAGAACTAAATTCCATTATTAGATTCCAGGATTATGAGTTTGTATTCTCAGTAGCCCTGGGATTCAGTATGACCATCTGACCTGGCTTAGTTTAACCTCTTACCCATGAGATACTCCAGTAACAAAACTGCTTTCTAAATAAAATGAGTGTGACTCAACAAATATTTGATAGAACACTAATTCAAAATAACATTTACATAGTGCAGATGTCTTGATATAAAATGAAAGAGTAGGTTTTCTTTTCTTTTCTTTCTTTCCTTTTTTTTTTTTTTTTTTTTGATGGGCAAGGCAGATTCCCATTCTGAGAGACAGCTAGTTAAAATGGGTCTGGCACTGCCAAGAAGTCAGAAAGGTTTCCATGAGTATGATGTGAGTTAACAAATCTAACTTGTTTAGACCAATGCCAGGTAAATAGTAAGCACTACATGTAGATTATCTACTATAGTATCATCCTGGCTCAAATTATTTTCACTTCCATGAGTCTCTGCTTTTTTATTTTTTAATGAGGTATTCCAAACCTTAGCTCCTCCACTTGTTAGCCTCAGTTTACTCATTTGAAAAATCAAGGGAGCCATTCCTATCTCACTTAAAGGTTAAGTAATATAATACACTTCAGGAACTTGGTCTAGAATTCAGCTCAGATTAAGCTCTTAATAACAACTTTATAATTATTTCTAAATTATACTTTATATATTTTTATTAAATCATTAATTTAATTTTAAAAAGACATTGTGTTCTTAATATAGTAAGTACATCAATTTTAAGACTGTAAAAAATAATGTGTTTTCATTGTGTAGTGTTATGCTTCCTTTGGCAGAACTCTACATGGTTTAAGTGAGCTAAGCTGCCACTTACGGTTGTCACTTGCTTTCTTGCATAGATGAGAACAGTAAGTCACCTTGACCAAATACATGACCTGTGAGCAAGACTTGAGCAGCCCTGCTGGAAGAGATTCACAAGACTGATAAAGGCTATCCCTGATGTCCCCCTTATGGCCTACAGAGCCCTGGTGAACAGAAAACCTGCAGAAGAAGTTGGAGACCATCATACTAAGTGAACTATCACAGAAACAGAGAACTGAATATCACATGTTCTCACTCATAGGTTGGCCCTGAACATTGTCACATTAACACAAGGGTGGGATTGGCAGTCACTGGGCACTGTTAGGGGAAGGAAGTTGGGAGGAAAGAGGGTGGCGGGCACGTGACAACACAAAGGGAACCGGGCCACCACCAAGGAAAGTGAGGGCCACCTAAAAATCCATACTTCACCTGCATACAGCCTACTTATGTAGTTAATCCTCACTTGTACCCCACAACTTTATAATAAATACAGAAAGGAAGAAAGGGAGGGAGGGAGGGGAAAAAAGAAGGGGATGGAAGGAAAGAAGGAAGGAAGGAAGGAAGAAAGAAAATATGCATGGGGGCCAAGGGATCTTCTTAGAAGAAAAAGGACTGTGATCTCAATCTTTAGCTTTTAAGAGCCAACATTATAAATCTCTTACTAGTGGAAATAGTCCTTTAAAATAATCCTGAATGAAGATCATATCACTATTGTGGGAGTTTTTCATGGGTACCCAAGGGGAGACTTGCCAACAAGAAAGGACAAGACTGATAACATATACAAAGACAGAGCATGGAGCTTTGTGGAAAAGGAGCTGGTTATAGCAAACCTGGTTGAGGCTGGGAGCCTTTCAAATGACCTTTGTTGGGAACCGGCCATAGAGGCACGCCTGAGCATTGGGGATCCAGGCAGGCTGCAGACCCTGAGACCACTAGGATGAGTTCAGGAGCTGATGGCCCATTCCCTCTTCCCTTTCTGCTGTTTGGCATGTCCCACTAGCAGGGACTTGGATGATCTAAGCTTGAAACTTCGAGAGTACGACAGGCATGGCTAACTCTACGGATCCACTGTTCCCATTTCTCACAGACTGTGGTTTTGGCCTTTCAATCAATTACAGTTCAAACTCAGGTCACATTCGGGAGCCTTATATATGATACAAGCTTCTTTATAAGATTTAAAAGTATATCTGTAGAATTAGTATACACATTTGGAGAGCTGTTTTCAGCTTTAGATGGTATAGATGATTATCTAGAGTTATCAGAAATGGCCCAGCACGAACTTTGGACTGGGCCACATTCCTGAGGGCCCAGTGTCTACTTTGGACTGGGCTGCATTCTTTTAAACCGGGTTTTTAAGCTACAATTAGTGTAGGTTTTTTCTACTTATTATAGAAATTGAATTTATTTTATTCATAAAAAGTACTGTAGAATAGGTTATGCTATATTAGTGAATTATGTTAGTTCAAGCATGATCAAACATGATATTTTGAGATTTAATAGAATACAGCTAACTTTAGAAATTTCATTGTTCCTATTTTTCTACTATTATAGTTTTGGCTTTAGTACAATTCATAGTTTGTATTTGGGTTTTATTTTAGAAGCTTTATTGCTGATGATCAGCTTTATATATTAGAATTAGGAATTAGAAACTTTTATAGACATTAAGATAGATATATAGCATTTTAAAATAGCCATTGTGTTAAGAGATTGTAATCAATTGTTCCTAGAAATGGCCCAGCATGATCATTGGACTGGGCCACATTCTTTAGGAACTGGTTTGAGCTATAATTAAGAGTTTCTATGGTACAGGTAAATTAGCACAGAATAGAAAGGTATTAGGATTTAAGTTAGTCATTAGGTGTATATGCATAAGCTTTAGAAGTTATTGATTATTAGAATATTATGATGTTAGAATTGTTATATTGTCTTTTGAGGAACATTAACCAAGCATAAGGAACAGTGAAATAATATTGGGATTGTCCTTCCTTATGTTTGAGGAAACACCTGGTGGGTGAGGGACACCCCTCATCCAGCTGGCTTTGTGTTCATGTGAAAATCTTGTGATTTTGCCTGTGAAACTTTAGGATAAAAGGCTTATGGTTTGTCCCATTAAACGGCTTCTGCACTAGACAGAGTTCAGTCTCTTTCTTTCTCTCCCCTTCTCTTTCTATTTCTCCAGAATAATTGCTGATGCTGCCACACCTCCAAGGACACCCTAAATCTCTCTGCAGGGGCTGGCCCCTCACAACTGGCACCCAAACGTGGGGCCCTGGAAAGGTAAGCTTTTTTCTCATTTCAGGGCAGCTAGGATCTTACCCAGGGTGCTACAGACCCTCTGTAGAGACAGGCAGAGTGAGGACGAGTAAGCAAAGTTTTTGTGAAGCCAGAGCCATGATCTAATCATTGACCAGAGCAAATCTAAGGAACGTAAAATGTTCATCAGTATCTTAATGAATACTTTGTCTAAACATGGAGCTAAAGCTTCTTCTTCTAATCTAGCTCATTTTCTACATTTTGTACAGGAACAATGTTAATTTAAAATGCTTTAAATCCACAGCATGATTATGAGAAATTTCCTTCCAAAAAGGCCTCTAACAATGATGATGATGAGGAAACTTTCCTTTTCACCGCTGCTTCGGCACCTCCTTAACAGGATGACAAGTTATCTTCACAAAATAAGGCTGAATTGGAGGACGAAATGTTAAAATATCATGAGCAGAAATATCCTAATAATGTTACTGCACCTCTTTCTAAGGTTTTCCTTTAAAAGTTGATAATAATAAATCCTGGACTTAGTTACACTTTTCCTTTTCTTATAGGAATGCAGGGAGCTCAAGCAATAATAAGCAAAAATATATAAGTAATATGAGCAATATAATATAAGCAAAAGCATATAAGTAATGTGTAAGTAATATAAGTAAAATAAGTAATATCAGCAATATATATATAAGCAATATATAAATAATATAAGTTATATATATATATATATATAAGTAATAAGCAAAAGAATATCTCATTACAGTCTTGCTTTAACTGTGGCCAAGTCGGACACAGTAACAGAGATTGTCTGGCTAAGCAAGGTATGGCCGGCTTACATGGTACACTGTCGCCATTTACTGGGGCTAATCGACCAAAAACCTTGTGTCCCAAATGCCAAAAAGGCTTTCATTGGGCTAGAGAATGCCTAGCTAAATTTCATAAAAACAGCACTCTTTTAAACCAACAGCAAGCCACCCCACCTCAGGAAAACTTCCAGAGGGGCCAGCCTTGGCCCCACATGACAATAGGGGTGCAGCCACCACCATGAACCCATTCGTTCCTTCTGCTCCATCGCAGAACTAATCTGAGCCACCCCAGG